TGAAAGAAGTAGCTAGTCAAACATCACAGCAGAGAAATTGAGAAACAAAACAGAAATTCAAGTACATATGTGGTTGTAAAAACCTGCTTTTCTGCCTCTGTGAGATTGTTCCATAAGTGCCCAATCTTCTTGCTGATGACTCTCTCTTGTCCATGGTGAAAAGGCTTTAGCTGGGCATAATGCTCTGCAAAAAAGAAGTTGTAGCCACTCCTGTTTGACTTGGGCCGAGTGGGATCACGTAACAATAGCCGGGACCTCTTTCTGTGCTGGCGAGGAGGTAGATCTAAAGTGTGAGAACCATGAGATACTTGGAAGGAGTCTGGAATTTGATATAAGACGCCTATGAGCTTATTAGAGCCGAATTCTACATTAACCACATATCCATCATCAAACTTCCCATCAATAGTTCCAGTCACCAAACAGCCAAGCTGCAAATCTGGACCCTCTGCATCCCACATTAGACATCCTTGTTACAGATGCTACCACAATAAGAAATTCCAACAGAAAGAGAATCTCAAACAGACAGGTAAAAGAAGGCAGTATCAATATAGACATAAAGAAAAACAGAAAAGCAATCGGCTAGATAATACAGAGAGATATTCAAGCAAAATATCATTTATGTTTCTTCTGCAGTTACAACAAGGTTACAGGGCCAGCAATTTCATGAACAGTTCTACGAGAAAGAAAAGAGGAGCCAAAAAACTATAACAGCGAAAAGTAGCATGCACATCCATGTTACGAAAGTAGAACTGTCAAATGACCTTCTGTCAGAAAGTAGCACACATTGTTGTTTTTGAAATTTGAACTATCACAACACCTTCATTACAGTTGTGACAGATGTTAATGAGTTTTAGTAAAGGTCCTAGTAACCATAGGACAGTTCCATTTTGTTTTCTTAATTCCCTCCCATTATTTAGTCTGATTGATCCATCTCTACTCAGTTTTCTTAATTTGCAAGGACCCAAAAGTTAAATAACCAACAATCTATAGTATACAAACTATGAAGATGCAAGATCCCCATGCAATCAGCAATGAAAAATCTTGACATTAATGTAAAGAAGGTAGCAATAGTGCTGATTAATTTGCTAGCAAAGGATTTGAGATGGAAAAGAAAAAATATCTGCAACTCTTTATAAAACGCTTCTCTGTAGACACTACCCGTTGCTGTCTAGCAGAACAAGATAGTAGGACAACGCAGTTTACAAACAATCTAATCTTTCAGTTAATTTACTTTATAATGACTCACCTTCCAACTTTGTTCTTTAATTGCTTTAGTCATATTATCAACTGACAGCGACAAGAATACTAAGTTATGTTCCTTATACAACATCTTTTTCATTGGATGATAAATAATAGCAGTGCTGTTATAGATTGAATAGTGATTTGCAAATTTTTTTTGAAAGGAAAAATTTGCAATTATTAGGTGAATGGTAAAGTTCACATGTTTCTATATGCACTCATATAAATCAACACTTTTCTGGACAAAATTCATAATTTCTTCATAAAAGATCTTTGGCATTACAAATACTGGAAAACCTCTTCAAGTGGACACAACCATTTAACAACTCATGCTTTTAGCACGAAATAAACTCCAAAGATGCACGATGATGTCTACCTTTCCAAGAGAATGTAACAGCAAAACTCAATACTAATGATATAGTAGTCCGTTTGTTTCTACCATGTCAGTCACTTAAACAAGTTTTACACCATCCCAAAGCATACTAGGTCAACAATTAAAACCGGAAACTGCTGTCATCTATATACTATCTGTAGCAAGTAGAAAAGTGCTCTGGAGCATGAAAAAGTATACTCCATACACACATAAAGTCAAGTATGAAGGTAAAATATTTGCAAAGTCTAACACAATGAAGTCATGGCGTAAAACTCTTCAAGACCACTATCTTTACCTGAAAACTGGCTAGTAGCAGCAGCACCTTCGCTTGAGCCTGCAGATGCATTACCAAGACTTCCATTTACTGCATCTGTGGAAAGTAATTACCTATCCCCATTTACAGAGAAATAATTGAAGAGAAAACAAAGTGCATGACCAAGTACCTCCCATTGAGACTGAAGGGACTTGTTTTTGGAAGAGATATGCCTGCTCGAAATGGTAAAGTAGTGACATATAATACTTCCTTAAGACAAATGATGCACTTGTAATTGTTGATGGAAAATTGAAGGCTGCAGTCACTTCTTTCCATCTGCGCTCCTTAATAACCTAGGAAAACAAAAACATTCCAGGTGAACTTTAAGTTACAGGAAAATGTTGGAGCATGGAATAACACCCGATAACATTCAGCAAAACTCAGAGGACAAAAATAAATCTTCTGTAAACACTTACGTACAAGTCATTTCCACTATTATTGGGGGGGGGGGGGGGGGGGGAAGGAAATTGCGTCTGATGTAGACTTCAATTAAGGAAGATAGATTAATTACAAGTTTTAAGAAATTTAAACTCGTACCTTCTCAATGCCACCACGAGATGTGACTTCCACGAAAAGATGGTGAAGATCCAAAGCCTTTCCTCCCACAGTAGGAACCCTGTCCAATAAAAAAATAACATCAATTCCTATTAAGCTTACCATCATCCACACTTAATTTTCTGAAAAAGGAGTAAGCAATTTTCATTTGAAGCAAGCTATTTTGTGGCAGAAACCCGTGAATAGGCAGAACAGAAAGTGTGGGTCATATCTCAGAAGGAAAAAAAAAAAAAAAAACCACAAAGTACATCTAAGGCCATACAACAAGGGGTAAAACAGAAAGATGGTATATACTCCGTGCAAATTGAATATTAAGATTGGCTAAACTGGCAATGGCCTGGCTGCAGAACCTACTTGTTCTGTTTTGTGTACAGTTGCAGAAAAGATATACCGTAGCAAGTTCAAGTATTTAAATCTAATTCCTGACATTGGATAGAGAGATATCCCGCAATTGCTTTAGAAGTAACACCGACCTAACTCGTCATGGAAAAGGCATGGTCTTGTCCACAAAATTCAATCTAACATCTTAGGACTTAAGCCTGTATCCATATTTGAAGTTTAGAACAAATTTTAGAACTGAAAAGCTACCGCAAGATCCTAAGCAAGTTTCGCATGAAGGAAGGACTTCTTTTTTTACAAAAAAACACACAAAAAAAAGCTTCACATAGTCATTGCTCAAAGTTTTAGGGAAGACCATACTCGAAAAGACCCTCCTGACAACCCCAAAGCTTCAGCTGAAACCGTAGAAACTTTTTTAAAAACAAAAAAAAAAATTAAGACAGAAGGGGATTATTGGAGCAACAGCGTTTTGGGTTTAAGTAGACTGACTAAATAGAAAAAAAAAAAATACATAAGCAATGGAAAGAAGAATAGAAAATAGGAAGAGAAACGAAAAGGGAGATATGGTAATAAAGGCAGCTAAATCAGTCACATGTCATGAAATTGTAAGATAATCCAGAGGGCCCAAAAAGAAAAGAATAAGGGATAGAGAGAAAATAATCCCGGAAAAGAGAATCATGAGAAAACCACGGCCAAATACAAATTAAAGGTGAACTACAAAATAATACAGAATTTTTTTTAAAAAAAAAAAGAAGAAGAAGAATATAAGGAGAAGAAGAAAGAGGGAAGGCACACTTACGCGAATTTGGTGCCAAAAGAATTGTGGAAGGAGTGGAGGTTTTCCCAGAAGAGGTCCGAGTTTTGGGCAACATCCTCGTAGTGGGCGGTTGGTGGAGGGTAAGAGGTGGAAGTTGGGGCGTTAGGGGCCTCCCCTCCTCCTCCTCCTCCTAACTCTTGCTTTGCTGCTGAAGTAGCAGCAGCACTTGGGTGTTCGGTAGACATTCTCTTCTCTCTCTTTTTTTTCTTTCTTTTTTTTTTGGTTTTTTTTTGTTCCTCCTCTCCTCTCCTTGGTTCTCTTTTTTTTTTTTTTTCTTTTTGGTCTGATAGTGAAGGTAGGAGAAGGGCGTGGTGGGTTCGCAGTTGTTTTGACCCCTTTGTTTTTTTCTTTCTATCAACAGTTATTTTGACTTTGTTTTCTTTTCTTTTTTCTAACACCCACTCCTTTTTCTTTTCTTTACTGCCCTTTTTATAATTGTTTGGTTTTTCAAAAAAAAAAACATTTTTTTCACCCATTATAGGTTGTTTTTTATTGTCATGTAATATCGCAACAAGATGGAAAATTTTATTTCTGGTGATTACAGTATTATATTATTAATTAAGGCAAATAGACATGTGGATCACAAATACAATGGCATCTGATCTTTAGTTTTATTATGGTCTCATCTCATCTATAAGTAATTCTTTTAATCAAAAGTTGCATGCATGGCCATCAAGGAAATTTCTGCTTAAGAATGGATATTTTGAGCTACCAGCAGACCAAAATAATGTTCAGATCAGCATTAACCTTGCTGTATAATTTCACGAGGGGAAGTAATTTCTTGTGTTCCACAACTTTCATCTTTTTTGTTGGGGAAGTTCCACAACTCTCTTCTTATTTAAGGGTGGACGATGAACTTCATATTGCTTTTTTCATTAAAATTCTGGTAAATATTAGTCTTGAAGTAAATGAAAATTCTGGATTTCAAAGACTAGGTAACGGAGTTTTGGTTACCTTCTAGATTTTATACAATGATTTGCTTTTAAATTTTTTCATTGATTTGCTTCTTTTTTTTTGGATTTCATTAATATTTTTTTTTCATACCAAAAAAATGTTTTTTTTTTTAGAATACGAAAGATAAAAAAATAAATACAAACCTATCATAAAGATTATTATTCTTTTACTTTTTATATACAATCAGCTGTCTATTTGAAATTTTGAATTGTCCTTTCGGTTTTAGCGGATAAAGGCACCAAAAATTTTGAATTCTACTTTTGGAAATATTATTGGGAAGTGCCGCTTTAGCAAGTTTTTTGTTTTTTGTTTTTTTTTTCGTTCTTCTTAGACTCTTCCGTCCACTTCACTCCTTGTCTGGCGTTTTTTCCCTACCAAACTAGATTAATTAATCAAAAGCATAAACAAAACGCCGTTGCAGGGAATCGAACCCGGGTCACCCGCGTGACAGGCGAGAATACTCCCCACCATATTACAACGACCTGGCTGTTAGCTTGAAAACGTTTTAACATAATCAAATGTATTAATGCCAAATATCCCTCCCAGATATATTGCCGGAGTATAATTTATATATTTGGTTGAATGTGGTTAACTTCTGAAGTATTTATTTCTATCATTGGTTGAATAGTTATGTATTTATTTTTATAGCCATCTCAAAAAAGTATTGTTTTATTATTTTGTGTAGAAAATTATAATCTTAATTTAGTGAAATAGATAATAAATTATCAAATTTTATGGGTGAATTCATGCTTAAAATATGTTATTATCTACACTGTCTTAACTATATCTATATCTATATTTATATGTATGTATTGTTAGAGAGGATTTTTTTTTCGAGAATCTTTAGAGAGGATTTTTACAATACAGAGATGAGAGCTTTTAGTTTGGTATTTGTCGAAGAGATGCTTTATGTTTTAAAAATTACAGTTGTAGTTGTGTCTTTTGGAAAGAGAACACAGAACACACAACTTCAACCTTAAATTGAAAAGATATAACTGTTAAATAAAAAGATATCTTTTCAGAGAGACATTTGCACAAAAAGCCTCCCATTCTCATTTTAATAAACCAAATGTAGAAAGGCTTTCCTATCTTTTCTATTTTCTCTCCATCTTTATGTCACATCCCTATTTTATCTCCAATAAAAATTCTCTTACATTTCCTTTTTTTCTTATTTACCAGATCTCTCCTACCAAATAAAAATACTTTGCATTCTTGTATGGTGGTATACAACTATAGAGGTTACCATCCAAGATAGATATTATGTCAATATTTTGAAAGTGATTAAGGGTTGTTGGTGTTAATACAAAACGTCTCCAACTAGGGGCTTCATTACATCTTCGAGGCAAATTTGCAAGACACCCTTGCATACCGACTTTGTATAAAGTAGTGATGGCAAATATTGTATTAAGAAAAGTGGTATTAACAGCACACCTTGAAGCATCTACCAGACAGTGTAAGACACAATGTAAGAAGCAATATATACATATTGGAGAAGAATAAATAAGTTTTAGAGACTCAATTGTCCACATCTCTATTGCAATATTACACACCTCAATTCTTATTTTAACTTCTCCGTTTTTAGTTTTCTTACTTGTTAGTACCGCCAAAATATTCATATTGCGGAAATATGTATATGGCTGGGGCAAATAGCAAGGAGATATTGGGCTTGTTTGGAAGTGTTCTCTAATTTTTATCCATGAGAATTGTTGTTAAGACAATTCTTTGAGAATAATTTTTCAGTCAAAATGATAAACCACGTCAGCACATGCCCTGTCCGAGACATATAACTGATCTGCCCGCTAAAACTCCAGGTACATAAATGTCTCGAGAAAAGTTGTAGATATATGATTGACCCAACGTAAGAAAGATGGGTACCAACTGTACCAAAAATCCTTTTTATTTATTTCTTACTTTTACATATATCATACTTATTTTATATATCATATTTATTTCATGATTTTAAAAGTTCATTATATAAGGATTTATATTATATGAACTTATATTCTATGTCTTCATAATTTATATTATTTATTTTTTTCTATTTTTTTAGAACTTATTTTTCTTATTCACTTGTATCAACATCTTTAATTTGTAATTTCACCCCTTCTCTTAAAAAATAATATTATTTAAAAATAATTTATAACTTATGGAAATAAAGTATTTTTTATTTTTCATGAGAAATAATTTTTTAAAAAAATATATTGATCCCCTAATTATTCTCTTTTTTTGTTTTTTACATATTACATAAAAATTATACTTATTTTTATTAATTAAAGGGGTGCAATATATTTTTCAAATTTTAGAAGCTTAATAAGAGAGAATATATATTACTTCTCGTATTTCCTTCTTTTATGTAGATTTTTTTTTATATTTTTATATAATTATTTTTTGTTAAATATATGATTGGTCCCCTTACTATATTGAATTGATATGAATAGTCCCTCTACGCTAATTCAGATTAATTACGTCCCCCTACTCATCTTAAATGACAAATTTGGTCCCAACGTCTGGTTTAATCCACGATTAGCTGACGTGGCATATGTGGGACTCACATGTCAATTAGGAAAATAATAAAAAATTATTTTTCTAACATGTGGGGCCCATATAAGTGCTTAAACAATGTCATCTCAACTAATTACAAATTAAACCGGACAGGGGGACTACATTTATCATTTTAGAACAGAATAGGGGCCGAATTAATCGTAATTAGTGTAAAGGGACCATTCTTATCAATTCGATATAGTAGAGGGACTAAACATATATATACCCCTAAAAAATTCTGTTTGGATAAATACTTTAAAACAGTTTTGGAGAGGCAATAAAAATCGTCGTTGCTAAAGATTGAGCCGCCACAACAAATTCCAAAGTGTCACCCCATTCTACCACCGCAACTGAGGATATGAGATATGTTTGGAACATAGATCTTGAGTGTGAGGTCTGTACAGTGTCCAAGCCTTGCCCTTCTAGCATTATTTGATGGTGGATGTAACTTGGTTTTGTTGGATTTGGATTTGGTGAAGAAGATAATGGCGGAACAACATTTAATTACGAGGACCATGGCTTTGTTGTGGAAGAAACGGTGCAGGAAATCGCGATGATCGCGGGCGATGAATGTTGGATTTTCAAGTATGAGTATTTGTCCCACATCGGATGAAAAGAAATCAAGTGTGTGAAATATAAGTGGAATGGACCCATGTACCCAATGCCTTCAGGTTTTAGGTTACCATGTGGTGTCTTAGCCCACGAGTATAAATCTCACTTGGGCCTCGCTTGTTTTCTCCCCAATTTTCGAGCTACTCTCGACACTAGCGAGTGGTAGCAGAGCCGAAGGTTTGCTTGTAATCGATATGGACTAGTGACATGGTTTGCCCCGTCGGTGTTGCCCTCACGTGGAGCGAGCTCGAGAATTCAAAATTTAGGCCCGGGTGCGGAGTTGTAAGGCATGACTCTTGAAAACTTAAGAGATTGGCAGGCGTGTACTCCTAAGAACGGGCTTGGTATTGTGGAGCAGGCTCTTGAGGATGTCACAGAAGATGTGATGCTTCCGTTGTAAGAGGAGTATGTAACAGCCCAGGTAAATTTTTCGTTTTTACCGCGACCGTAATTCCTTTGCATAGTGATTTACCGGAAGAAATTAACCTTTAGTAATTATTTCATGGTAAACCGAGCATCGGATCCCAATTCCGAGTCTCAATTCGTAACTCGGATATTTTTACGGAATTTTCGGGACAAGGTAGAATTTTCCGGACTGGTAAAAATGCGAAAAGACGAAAATGCCCTTAGGTTAAAACTAAAACAAAAGGAAATGTGAAGGGCAAAATAGTCTTTTGTCAAAGCAGATTTTTCCTCTCTTCTGCTCAATCATTCAGGCAGCAGATCAATAATACACCGACCATTCTTTTCGTTGTCTGCCAATAAAAGTTGTCTACCTCCTTTTTGGTTTATAAAAATCTGCCTACCTTGCAAATTCTGTCACGAAGGAACCATCATCCCCTGCTCTGTTTTCCTTCAAACTTTCCAGACTTAACCAAAGCTTCTAAACATTAAAAATATATNCTATGAAGTGTGGAAACTGGGTGAACTCGAGATATGTTTAAGGTTGTTAGACGAGTTGAAAGAGACTATACGGGTTCAGTTATGGGAACTTGTTTGACTGTGGGGATTAATAACGGAATCACCTAGACAGTTAGATAATCACAATTAAGTGTTGGTACGGCCAGATGGTAGTCTACTTGTGTATTGTGTTATGACTTGTTTGATGACAGGGAGGACTGCGGGACTCCCGACCGAGGACTGCGGGACTCGGTTTTTGAGATATTGTGATTTGAGATATTTTGGTTTACGGGGAGTACCCTGGGGTTAGCTAACCTGGCTACCAGGCACGGCCAACATTTAGATTGTGATAGGGGCCCTGATAATAAAAATTGGATTAGTTTAACAGGTTAGACCTTAGGAAGATAACCGGGGAATCGTAGAATCAAGTTAAGGTTTTGCCTTGTAATACTTTGTTTGTTTCTGGTAACTTGGTTATAATGGATGCTTGTATATTAATTATTACTTGTGGATTTTACCCGGTGAGCGCTTCGGACTCACCCCTCGCCTACGTGACTCGGTCGCGTAGATTGATTTGTTTTAGTACAGGAACGTGCCAGGCAAGCTGCGGCGTACCCTCTGTCAGATCCGGATCCATACTCCGCTGCGTCTTATCATTGTGGTGTGCTGTTGTTATTTCAAGTCTTCCGCTGCTGATGTGTGTTTCTTGTTTTTGTTGGATGTTGTTGAGACTGTTTGTATAATAACTACCCCCGTGCTCGGGTGATGTGTGTGTGGGTTGTTATCTTAAGCTATGCTTGGGTTTGTCTTTATTGTGTGACTTGGACGTTGTTAATCCTGTAATAATAAGACGGCCCCGTGTTTACTGTGACTAGCGGTAAATTCGGGTCAGGTTGTTTCAGAGTAGGCCTAAGAACGGGCTTGGTATTGTGGAGCGGGCTCTTGAGGATGTCACAGAAGATGTGATGCTTTCGTTGTAGGAGGAGTAGGCCTAAGCCCGATGCAGAAGAAATTCATAGTTGAGGGGGAGAGTATGAGTAACTGTCCCACATCAGATGAAAAGAGATCAAGTGTATGAAATATAAGTGGAATGAACCCATGTACCCAATGTTTTAAGGTTTTGGGTTACTATGTGGTGTCCTAGTCCACGAGTATGTTTCTCACTTGGGCCTCGCTTATTTTCTCCCCGATTTTTGGGATACTCCCGATACTTACAATGAAGACTTGCATTCGCCGGCGACGAGACGCGACGAATGACGGCGATGAGATGCAGCGAACGACCTCAGGGCCACGAACTTAGCACTCTAGCGAGGTGTTGATTTAATTGGGTTCAATTGTCGACGTAGACGACTTTGACTTAGTTGGGAAGAAGACTTTTGGGAAAACAAATCTTGAAAATAATGAAAATATCTTAAAGTTGTTTCCAAAT